AGACAAAGCAAAAGAAAAAACCCGAGAAAACTGAGAATACTTTCAACGTCTTATTGTTATTGCTGGCTGCTCTATACATATAGTATACGCATGCATGTAAAAGCGGAGTAGTTTTATTACGTATCTCTTACGGCATTTGTAGTTTTTCTTTTATTTATTTATTTTTTTTTTTTTTTGTTGCTTTTTTGCTTTTTATTAACTTGTCTTCCCAGCACACTATACACGGTTTAGGTTTATAGTTGAAAATAAAACAGGGGAAGTTTTTTATGACTTTTTTATTTTTTATTTTTTTATTTATTTATTTTTTTTTTCTATTATATATTTTCACTAATGATGATGATGATAATGATGATGATGATGACGAGAACAGGTATTTCTTTGTTAATTTAGCATCTTTTTCCAAGTTTAATGTCAATGACTGGACTCTGTTTATGCTTAAAAATAGAAATTTTTTATGGTCACTTCATGTCATACGGGTTTTAAAAATCTTACGGCTTTAGTAACAAAAAGAAAAAAAAAAAAAAAAACAAATCCCTTATGGATATTTGCCAAACTTAATTCTAATACGATTTGTGCGCTAACACACGAACATACACACACACACACACACACTATAGGCTACCGGTAAGTTGAAATCACTATCAGTTGAAAACCTGCTAAAAACTTAACTTGTCGCGACTACACTTACTCTCTGGGTCGTCTAGATGTTATTTGAGATAAGATGAAGAAAAAAAATACAAAAAAAAAAAAATGAAATAAATAAAAACTCACAAGTGCAACTGATATGACAACACAAGAAAAGCCAGATAAAACATGCAAAATCTGTATACATATATATAACATATGTATACAGATTGTATGTTGAACACGTACGAACAACATCGGTATAGATTGTTTTGTGTGTTTGTTTTTTTTTCTTTCTTATTCTTTTTTTACTCGCCTTATAGGATTTGCTTAACACTAAATAATTTTTAATTAAATTTATGATTATGTATCGTATGTCCGTCTATTACTGTTCTTTTTGTTTTTTTTTTTTGTTTATTTTTTTATTTGAATGCATAAAAAAAAAAAAAGTATAAAAATAAAAACAGGTGCATTTTTTGTTTGTATTACCACCAATTGTGGTAACCTTGTACGCCTACCTTAACGTTTGTTTAAAGTGTAGCTTACTTTTACTCTTCCGTTCTTTTTTTTTTGCTTTTATTCATTCCACTAAGTGTCGTAAAAGTTATTGCTTCGAGCCAAGATCTCTACCGCTAGTTAGCCTAATTTATTCTATTAATAGCAGCTAACGAGAAGGAATCAAGTCAAGTGACTAAGTACTCGCGACCCAACTCTTTTCGAATTTGGTTGGATTCGTTTATGTTAGAACAAAGAAATTCTAATCGATTCTTAGCTGGCCTAATAACGACCGATTTTTGGACTTTGTTTTTTTCGCATTATCCTTATCGGTTGTCTATACAGCGTTTTAAGCATTATAGGCTTATAAGCTTCATCTTCAGCGGCAACAGATTTAATTAAATGATGGGAAATACTCCCACAGGTAGCATTGAATACTTGTTTGGGGCAAATAGATCACAGGACTCTTTTTTTTTTTTTCTTTTTCCCCCACTTTCTCGACCCAAATTTCTTCGTTCGATTGCGATTTTCTAGTTTCTCGCATTATAATATTTGTGCGATAGCAACATGGAAGGTCGTGCTGTGCAACGGCAACTTCGAGCGAAGTTTTAAAGATGGCAAGAATACCACAAGACAACATGCAACTGACGCTTGACGAAAGAGTAGCCAGGTCTCTATAGTTGTAATAATGTCTTGATGTCACTCTATCCGACGCCAGGCCTCGTAAAGCTTGCGAATTCGTTTCATTGCAATAACTATTGGATTCTAGCTCGCGGAAGTGACCTTTATATCGAGAAAATAATGCGTTCTAATTGCTATTCCGATAGCAATTATCTGATACTACCCGCGGCAAGTAAATTTTAGATCGTGATTCTATTGCGCTCACAATTCTTTTGTGAAGACATACCCTTGATACCGCCCAGTTGATAACATTAGCATGATGTCAACCCCTACGAGGAAAGCTTAGATTGCAACTTTATTGCGCCCAAGTTTCTCCGACAATGACACATACTTGATGTCAGCCCATAGCACGAAACTACATGTCGCGACTGTATTGGTCTTTCAACAGCATACACATCATGCCATTCAATTGATTCTAGCCCTTGGGAATAAACTTTGGAACGTAACGATGTAGCTTTTATTTTCCTATTGTGAAGATGTCGACTCACTTGACTCTAGATCGTAACTTTAGTTCGTTCAAATTTCGGGCACGACGGGATCCGCCTAACGTCCGCCTATACTCGGTCTCGGTTTATCTCATAACAGCCCTGGCCCTTACGCTGACGCGTAAGACTTTTATTACGGTGGGGCCCATCTGATGCTAGCCGCTGGCAGTAAACTTTACATCGTGACTCTTTTAACATCAGATGTGTTTCACCAAAGCATGTACGCTTGTCGAGTATTAGCCCATAAAAGTTAACTTGAGTTCGTGATCATATTGCGCTTACATTTTCCTTTCCGATAATACCTGATTATTTGTTGCTGCGCTGATACTGGCCTCATGTCGTCCCATAGTCGGAAATCTTAAGCCTTAACTGTATTGCATTGACTTCCCTAACGGGTACATCTTGCTGATGATAGCTGGTTGATACGTACCCTCGGAAGGAACATTTTAGTCGTGATTGCATTACACTTGGATTAGTTCCCGCGATAACAAACGCTTCACGCTTGACGGTAGTGCATACAGATTCATCTCAGGACAAAAACAGGCGAGGACAAAAGCGAGACCGTGATAGTAGAGTTACTTCACAATTTAATAGTCGTTGCAAGAAGTGATCTAAAAAGCCTCCATAACGCATCCGTAATGCATAAAAAAGCTCTACTATATACGTGGACATCTAAAACTCAATCCTAGTTATTACAAATTTTTTCAGTCCCAGCAAATGTTTCTGAAAATTAATTTTGCTCAACACAGTTTCATAGTTCTCTTAAGTAGTCTGAGACATATATCTAATGTATAATGTTTCTCAGGAAAATTTTTCTTAATTTCGATCTGACACGCAGTTGATATTGTAAGCACCGCCGGGTATAGTAAAGAAACTTTAAAGCTAAAAAAAAAAAAACAAAAACAAAAAAGACAAAAAACATTTAAATCATTCCGAATCGATCCGTTAACTTTAAGTGTTGCTGCACTGCAAGAGGGGAGAAGGGGAAAATCTTTTTAAAATTTCGCAATATATTTTTTATGGTTTATACACCGATGAGAATGTAATTGAAAATTTATTGTAATTATCGTTTAACGCACAGGTAAAGAATAAAAACAAATGCTTGTACGTATATAAAAAAAAGTGTTTATTTTTAAAATACTTTCGATTCACTTGGTATGTGAATGAGTTCGCATGTCATGCAATGCAGTGAACGTTCAAGCTATTGCAAAAGCAAAAAAGTCGATGCATTAGCGGCAATTGCCGCGGGCGCAGCAACAACAACAGTAACAACAACAGAACCACCAGCAGCAGCAGCAGCAGAGGGATCCTCTGATGCACGCATCTACTTGTGCAATTGCCACCGTTGCAGAAGCCACCGAAGCTGTTAATGTCAACTAATGTTTCAGTCTAGTAGTTCCAGAAAACGTAAAAATCGAACGTGTTAGCATGGCATATTATAAAAAAAAAAAAAAAAAAAAAAAAAAAATAAATAAATAAATAAACCGAAGAAAGCTAAAGGTTGTGCAATTGAGAATGTGGAAGGAAAGTATGCCGACAAACAGTGCACAACACTTTTACAACACATGGGCCGGTTGTGGCTGGCTGACTGTTTGGCTGTTCGGTTCGGTTTGCCTGCTTCAATGAATGTATGCAATTTTCGCGAGCACTAGTAGAGGCCAGTGTTGTGCGATTAGACTGATGCTGCCTTTTTTTTATTTTTATTTTTATTTTCTATGCACAATCGCTAGCACGAAGTCACAGTTTTATGGACGGCGTCAAAAGCCACAACATCATATTGGCGACCAGTTTTCAAAAGTTACCATGGAATCGTCATCCTTAACTAGTCAGTCAGCCGGCTAGCCAAGCGGCCAGCCACTCAGCCAGCCATCCAGCCAGTCAGCCAGCTAGTGAATTATCAGGCTAAACAAGCAAGCAAGCGAACGAACGTCTTCGTTACGGTCTGCTTGTTTTACCGCCAAAAACGAAAAAAAAAAAAAAATTCAACATTAGAGCAGAGAAACGGCCGTCACTGTTTTCAGAATACTAAGGCAACAATAACAAGAACATGAAGAGTAAAATAAAGAAAAAAAAAAAAAAAAAAAAAAAAAAAAAAAACGACTCGCAGCGATATAAAATATTTTATTTGCGTGTTTAGAAATCATTTTATAGTCGCTGTCTTAGCATGTAGCCTTAAGGTTTATCAGCGATTCATCTTTTGGAAGGTAGTACACACACACACACACACGCATACACACATGCACTCACGTGCAAATATATATATATATCCACACATAGGCATAGTCAGAATATTACAACAACTGCTGCTAGTTCGTTCACATAGCATTACATTACGTTACGTTACATTTTATTACACGTAGACATCTAGCTTACCTCACACTGTGTTGTTAGTGTTCATACTGAACATGTGCGTGTATGATTATTGTTATTATTGTTGTTGTTGTTGTTGTATATATATTTTTTGTTTTTTTTTCTGTTTTATTTTTTCAAGTTTCTCTCTAAAAACGTAAAACCGTATCACCTATGAATTGTTCACTATTTGACCACTTAAAGGTGGCCTTCTCGCTAACGTTTTAAAAATTCTTGGAAATGTGAATAAACACGAGTAATCATGTAAATATCATAAACAATATGTATACACATCTATACATATAAATGAATGAAATTATGTTTGAAGAGTAAGTAAGAGAATGATATGAGTAGAGTAAAGCTCACCTATAATAATCACTTTTGCAGTAAATATTACCGTCGCGCGAATAACATGACGATTCTCGGTCTAAAGGTTGTCGACACGCATAACACTGCAGACAATTAACATGCCAACGTTTATCCACAGCTGAGAGGTAGAAACGATCCTAAAATGTAATAAACAAAACATTTGTTTATGTACATACATATATATATATATATATATCTATCGGCGTATAATCATTTGAAATTATTGCTTACCTGTATTAGACGGCCGCAACCAGCGCAATCTTCAGCACTGCACGCGGGTTTTATTTCATTAGCCGATTCTGGACTGCTGGGCGGACCGTAGGGTTCTGTTTTGAACGATACCCCCGAATTTGTTTCGTCATTTACATCGGAACATTCCGTTCGCGTTCGGCTTATTGCATATTTGATGGAAGATTCATCATATGTCGCTTGCTCAGCCGTCTCATAGCTATTAACGATATAAATGAATTCATTATTACTATGAAAGATAGATTATTATCGTCCTTTTTATTAAAATTATTATCATTATTATTATTATTATTATTATTATTATGTTTGTTATCATTTACCTTCTAAATGCTACACTATATGCTGCCGCCGCTGCACTAAATGATTTTGTACTGTGTTCGCAGATATCGGGACATGTGGAGCAGGCTCGAAATAAAAATTGATTATTATTTACACCTGCAGCACTGCCACAATGTGTGCTCCCTTGATGTGCTACAGGTGGTGTTGGACTTTTTTCCCTTGCACCTGGCCCAAGAAATCTTGCGCTCTGCTGCTACAATATATTTTTTCGTATCGTTGTTCAAATTGAAATGAAAAACAAAAGAAAATTATATTAAAAAAAACAAATTTTCAAATATATTTACACAATATAATTAAAATTTATTTTAGCATTTAAATGTAGTTTGTGGGATTCATAAATTGTACAACATAGGGCGAATAAAATATATTTCTTCTCAACTTTCTTAAAAAACCGAAGGGAAATATATTTTTTTTTTTTTGTATTTATCCGAGCCTGAAGAAAAAGTTGTTTTAAGCGAGCTTTGAGCAGAGCTGGCGCTCACTACACGCTATCTACATGTAAATCATGTGGGGTGTGGGTGTTTTGAAAAAGTTTCATCGGAAAACCGTTATACGACTAAACGGAGCAAATCGTCTTAATGCAAGCGTTTGCAGATTGTCTCGTGAAGAACCTTAAGACCACGTACTTTTCCATACCTTTACCACCATGCTAGACGAATCAAAAAAATTTCTTAAAAATGGCGAAAGCAAATACTGACGAGTAGAGCGGACAAAATTTGTTTCCTCTCGATATTTGGGAATAATTGTTTTGATTATATTTTCTTCTTCTTCTTCTTCTAAGCTTTTTATAAAGAAGTCTCTAAGGTCCTGATAAAGATCAGTAGTTGGAGGAGAGAAAAATCGCAAGAGCTGAACGCTCTCCATGGAAAGCTAGTCGCTGAATCGGATTTGAATAAATCCGTTTGTTTTCGACAAAATCAGTTCAGAGCGAAAGTTGAAATTCGAAGGGAAATCTATAGCAATCCGAAATTCAATTGGACCAGCATTTTGCGTCAGAGCATAGCGCTTGTCGTTACCAGTTTTTTTCAAACGTACACTAAAAGCAAGTGTTCAGTCATATCATTTCACATCAGCTCATTGGCCATCTTCAAGTTGGGTTGACCGCTTAACTGTGTCTACCTATTTAGCGATTTACTCGTACACTCGACAAACACAAAGTACGTGTGATATCATGTTAGGTTGTAATGAAACCACTTGACAAAATTGAAGAAATATTTTCTGAAATACGTTGTTGTGGCAAACATACATTTGTAATCATCAAACTTAATGAGGAAATCCGGAACGTGATGTGGTTCTTCCTACGGGTCAAACGGTTAACTATAATCATGAAATTCTTGATTTCTGCATTACGATGCAGACGATACATTATGTCACATGGCATTGGTCTTTCAGAGAGTCTTTCACTAGCCGTTCAACTCAAATTGTTTCGCAAGTGCCCTATCCAACAGATCAAGCTATTTTTATTTATTCTTAAAATAGAACATTTACGAGATAAGGTTTAGTTGATGTGCGAAAAATTAACTAACAATAGGTGCAACTCATTAAAAATTATCTCCACTACTTAGTGCTTACACTTGCCTATGTGGGTTAATTAGGAGAAATCGAACGGTGTACGGGTTAAATGCAAATGACAGCTAGCGCTCTATGTAAACAGTGTAATCCCGGACCATCTAACGGTTTCTAAAACTTCTTGACTACCATATACGGGGGGTATTGGGTGGGAATTAAATTCGTTCCTCTAGACGCCTATATAAGTCTACAACATTCATTGGCGGCAAGAAATGCCTCCGTCTTCAGATGCCCGCTGCTTCCACTCATGCGGACGTCAACATTGCATAGCGTTCTCACTTGAACGGATTATCGTAAAGTCGCGGATTGCTATCCAACTTTTTTCACAGATTTTCAACGTCCAACGCGAAGTTTCGGCGTAGCAGTGCTACGCTCCAATTCCATCACTTGTGTGGTCCTAGCAGTGCGCTCGCAAATTTAGATCTCCATAGTAATTGAATGCATTGCAAGAAAAAATCTTCAAGCAAATTTGTTTTGCAAAACATCCGATGGCTTGTGCGTAGAGAGACCCCGTTATTGTCGATAAGGTGCTGTCAACGGCAATCTCTTATTACTGTGTATGAATATTACATAATTGAGTTCAAAGTAGTTATGAAATTTGGTCAGTTTTTCAGAAATAACCTAACTATCTTTCAAAGGTGCACTTAACACGTCGCTCAATAAGTCCATAGAATAACTTGTAGATGCTGGCATTATTGGCGAATTATTGTGCTATCGGTTATCTTTCAAACTTAGTGTTCTATGTGTGATGGGAAATCGTTTTTTTCTTTAAAGATTTAATTTCTTTAGATCTCCCGACTGCACTTATGAACATCGTCAAAAGAATATGATTTATAAAAATTCGCGAATATTAACAAGTTTAGCAATTAACGTTTATTTCTCTTGAATTTTTCTTCTCGCGATCAATGCGATTCCACGCAGGCAACCGTTTTTTTAAACGTCAATGTGAACACGAACAGCATATGTTGAACTAATTTCGTTGCAAAAGTTTGTTGAAATCTTTTGATTTAGGTTTTAATTAGAACTTCCAGAACACATTTCGGCTCCAATTATAACTTCCAGCCTATAACTGATGTACTGATGTACTGATGTAAATGTATATCGAAATGTAATGAGTTTTTGCGCGATAATTAGTCTGAAAATAATATTTTGCAAGTTTTCTTCTCGCATCAGTCGGCTGCGGTTGCAATTCTCTTTTTTCTAATTCAAAGGATATTCAAAGCGCAATTATGTGAAAAGTATGTGCACATGTAAGAATCTAAATTTGACGGGTCTATAAACATGGCACAGCACTGTCTCGCTCTTTACGGTTTAAGATTTATTTAAAAATAAAATATCATATCTATCTGTGTGGATGGTTGTCATCGTATGAGAAATGTCTAATTAAAATTATACTTTACTACAATGTGGTAGAAAATTGAAATCAAAAATTTATGTATTTTTTTCTTTTTTCTTTTTTCTTTTCTTTTCATTTTTTTTTTCCTTTCGAAATTTATTCATTCTCTTTTAGAACAAAAAATAAGAATGAAAAAGGCAAATAACATAAACCAAAAAAAAAAAGAAAAAAAAGAAACGCGATAAACTGAAATGATGTGTCATCCATCCATGTTTTCATCCAAGTTGATTTCCCTTTACTGTGTTACGCTATACCAAGTTCAAAAAAGTATTGAAAAGCGCTGATAAAAAGACAGCAATACATACATAGTTTTATGCTCTTACATTACTCGCCTATGGGTTGCAAGAATCAAATGTTATCACAAAATGCATTTTAAATTTCGAATACAACTCTGCCAACTGATTATTTCTCATATACATATTTGATAGATTATTGTTATATTAGTTTTTTTTTATTCTTGCCTTTGTTGTAACAAGGGCAACAATTAACTTCGCGATGAGGAACTTTGAGGAACAAGACAACTTTTATAACAGACAAAAGGAATCAAGTTAACCTGTGTAGGTGTAGGTGTAACATATATTTCAAGCTATACCAACGTATGCATTGGGATTATAGGTATGTTGCTAAAAGCTATGAAAATAAATATTTTTTTTTAATCATCACAAAGACTGACTGACATTTGCCTGATAAATAATCTGACTGACAGTCTATTTGCAAAGTGCGTTCGCATACATCATTTTAATATCCTGAGAGGAAGTTTGATGTCAGGTTTTTATATATGCTCCTCTATAAATCAAAAAAAGGTGAACGATTGAAGAGGCATAGGTATTGCATTCCCTTCGTCCGATTCACTTGGCAGCTCATAATCACAAGGCATTACTTTTACTAAGCACGAAAGACTTTCTTTCTTTTACGGGAATTTCACGATATCTGCAACTGCCTAGAAGATCACAAATCTATTGACATACATTCATCAATTTTATATCTATACTATTTATTTGAGAAATTAACTTTAACACTAAATCCTTATCAAACAAAAAAAAAAAAAGAAATAACTTTACGTTAAACATAACCTATCCAACCCGATTATGTATTACATGTAGTTCGTTATCGCCAAATTTAGATACGATTTCAAAAATTATTGTTATCCACATCGCATTCGATAACAAACAGCTACGACTATAAATGCTGTGTAACGAAAAGCGACGGCAACGTCGACTATTAATATTTTTGTTGATTGTAGTCCGTCCGTTAATGACGAGAACCATATTTTTTATTTAACATATAAAAGAAGTAAGAGATTTTCTATAGAAAAAACAATAACCTTATAGTGATCCGAGGCTCATCATTAAATACCCTACACGAGTTCGTCCAATACACTTATTCATACAATGACATTTCGAAATTAGTCGCTCTATGCGCGTAAAGTGGCCTGAAAAAATGGTACGATTCGACCTGTTTTTGCGCTTGGGCCATAACACGTCGGTGTATACTCATTTTGCTTATTCCCATAATGCACCCAAAGGGAAGCTTCAGAGATCCTATAAAGTACACATATTCCTGATCAACGTGAAATTCTGAGTTGACTTTGCAATGTCTGTCTGTCTGTGTGTCTGTGTGGTGTTTACTATTGGCACTCCCCTGGTGGCAAAAATCGAAGTTTTGGAAGTTTTTGCACGAAGATTGGTATCGAAATTGGTCAGAGCAGAATCCCGCAGTAGGGCATAGACTGAACGCAACTCTGTTTTTCCTAACATAAATTTTAGGGGTTTTTGAGAAACAATAAAAGCTGGGAGGCAGAAATTTTCCGCATTTACTTTGCGAAACACTCTACTCTTTACGGTCTTATGCTCATTTATCATAACGCAAAGAGCATAGAATTTTTAAAACTATTTTGTACATTCCCCGAGTGAAGATATATTATCTGCCTAAAAATGGATTAATTCTGACATGAATATCGCAGACACAGTGATTGATTTTATCTTAATAATACCAGCGATATGGGTATCAAGTAAAAGAACTTGGAGAGTAGAATGCGAAGAGCATAGTGGTGGGTATGCGAGATTCGACCCCCGCCGATTATAACTTTCTTATGTGTATTCTGTTCGTTTATTTTAAACATTGATGTAATCGGAGTTGACCTTTTTCGTAGGAAACGATAAGGTAATCGACAACGCCTTTGTTGCATAATATCGGCTTGAAGATGCAATGATGGCAGCAACAGCAGAAGAAAGTGAAGACGAGTACAATGTAATGAAAACATCACTGTCGTCATGGCGTAATCGTGCTATGTTAGTTTGTGCGCTGTAACGAACAAGTGTTTTTAATTTTCGTACAAGAGACGAAAAATTTGGGACTAAGCCATCGATCCACATTGTACAATGGCAATATATCATATATGTATTGTCTGATCGAAATGTAATAACGATTTTGGGTACTCTTGCGATAGCGGCTAAGAAGATGACGTTGACGTTGATATGTAATTGTGTAACCTGGCATAAATGCTTTGATTGAAGTGTAAGAGGAGTTTTGGATATTGCTGCGACAACGACTAAGAAGACAGCGGCATTGAGATACGTCATGCAACTATGCAACGCGGCATATATGATTTGATTAAAAATTGGCAAGAATTTTGGTTTTGTGATGCGTAGTATATATTATGTGATCAAAAAATTGCAAGAATTTTAAATTTTCTCGGTGATCAAAAATCCAACAGCAACACCGATACATCTAAGACACTTTGCTATGCATTGGCAATGTGGCATTCGTGCCATGTTCAATAAACAAAAACTTTGTATTTTCATGAGGAGACGACTAAACCGAAGAAGAAGAAGTAGAACCGACTAAGGCACGAAAAATAGGGATATAGGGAATAGGAATATGCATCATAGTGCATAACGTTCTTAGCAAGTAAGAAAGTTATACTCGGCTACAGCCGAATCTTGCATGCCCACCGCCACAAAAATCCGTAGCGCCCCATGCTTTTATTTTTGGTTATAAAAAAATGAAGAGGATAAAATTTATTTTCCACTTTTTAGGTCACTAAAAGGTATTGTTAAGAAAAGTTGAATCTACCACGTTGTGACGTCCAACATACTTAGCTCGTCGTACTTTACTCTCCAGGAGCTTTCATTTGATACCCATATCATGGCATCCAAACGACAAATTTGATCAATAAGCGTAACACATCAAAAAATTAAAAAAAAAGAAAATTTAATCACATATAACTTTGTATGGGCATGGCTTCTTCAGAAAGTTAATTGGAAAAATTTGAGCCTTCTGTCTTTAATTCTTTGTGCGTAATGAGCGAAAGTCCGCAACTGTTTGCTTAGAGAAAAGGAATTGCATTAAATTTCAGCTTTACTGTGAACGTGGGTGTGTGCTCTGACCAATTTGGTCGATTTTCAATAACAACCTGCTTGCAAAACTTTTCAATGTTTCTAACAAATTTAAAGCCTATACATTAATCGAGTGACAATAACGCACGCTAGACACACAGACGGACAGATATGATTTAATCGAGCCAAAGGTTCACATTGATCAGGAATATAAATACTGTAGGTTGCTTTAGGACAAAACGAGTACATCCCCATTCTTCGGTAGTAGGCATAAAAAATGATAAGCTGCCGTCTCACAAAGGATCTACTATTGAAGGCGACATTGGTTGTATCAGTTTGAAAGTAGTGTTCAAAGTGGGGAAAATTCTGAAATAATTCTTGAGTATGAAAACACTTTCCATTAAGTTATTACAAATATTCTTCAGGAAGGTTGTCTTACATAAATCTTGTTAAAAGTTAAGCATGTTACGTTTCAAGGTATGTCACGTTAAGTAAAGTAAAGTCATGTTACTTTAGATACGTTACAGCTGACAGATGGCGTTATATTTTTCCGAAACAATGCTGCTACGCACACTAAAAGATTGCTTACGCTTACATAACATAGATTTTCTTTAAGAAAAGAAATCAATAGTGGACTTCAAAAGACTCATTGTTCTGAGAAGTTTAATATACTTTTATAATGTGCAAGAAATGTATGACAACAACTAGCTGAAGCAGCAGCTAAATTTAGATAAATGTTGTATTTCTAATAGGAAGAAGACATTAATGTAAATTCGTTGGTCCACAAAAAAGATATCAAGACTTGATCCCCCGCAGGACGGGGAATATATTTATTCGATAAAAGAAAGCTTCAGAGTTTCACGAAAAGAAATTCTATATATGCTTGGTCAGTATCAAAATCTGAATCAATCTAGAAATAGCTAGAAATAGTTTCTCAGAAACATTATGAACATTATTTCCGTCCCGTTCGATTTACGTTATAGGTAGGTGTTTGGCATCTCCACCTGTCCTGATGGCTTAATCAGACCAAGCCCATAACATTATTGGGTAATTAACGAGCGATTGCCGGCACCCACCACGTTGCACGACAATACTTCAAGTGATAGACTGGAGTATTAGATATGAAAGCCCTCTAGGCAAGGCGAGGCCTAGCTATACCTTTAATTAACTCATGCCCACGCAATAGGGATAACTACAAGCACTACGAGTACCTCTCCACCCACCAATCGGGCCTCACACGCTTGTTCAACCGAAATATTTGCAGCACTATCATCTCTGCTTTGGTTTCCCCCAGGGATTCTTCCCGACCACATGTGACTTGTCCCCATTTTATAGAGAAAATCGTTTTTTTTTTTAAACATAAAGTAGATAAGTATGAAAGGTTCTCCCGTTCAAAACCAGTAGCAATAGAAAGGAAAAGTCGAAAATGCTTGACAATGTGACTTTCGTTGTAATTAAAGTGAAAGTTATTATCGTCTTACTAATATTTAGCCCTTAAAGCAAATTTCATCTGAGATCCGAGCGTTGCATTTAGCTTTCTTGTCAAACAACACACAACAGTCATATATGTAAAGTAGCTTAGCACAATGTTTGGATAAGACTTTTATTAACTGCCCAGAGAAGAAGGTAAAAAGTCTAAACGGCGATAGAGAGGACAACAAAGACGCACTGATGTGGCAGATTTCACTCCGAGAAACTGGTTTCACATCTGCTTAGAAAAGATCCCTGACCTTGATATATGCCGTTCAAATAATAATAGGGCTGCGTAGGAAGCATTTGTTACAGCTGGAGAACTGTATGGGAAGGAAGAACAAACAGACAAACCAATTGTGGTAAGGTCACACTGTCTGTCCGAAACCTTTAAAGCCAGGCCTTCGGGTCTGTTAAAAAATATTCTGACGGTTTGTGAACTGTTGAGTTGCCTCTCGATCTTCCGTAAATCTTCAACAAAAATTATTGTGAGGCGTGAACACTGAAAATTCAATTAAAGTGTCTTGAGAACGATAAAGTCTAACTACTCTTCATGTATACAAGCTATCATTAACGGTATTTCGTATCGTTTTTCCTATGAATCGAATCAGTTCGAAGATGTTATCGAATAAAGATTTTTCTATTTATCTTACCCAATGCATCACAGGGCGCTCTTCGGTGCAGACGCCCATGTGCGTCTTTTGAGATATCACGAGGTTTGCTTCCAACGATGCTTATTTGGCAGTGCGGCGGCAGGATGATTGCTTCTAAAACGACGTCCGCTACCAAAATGATGTTCGAAACAATCCGTTCTCTTTTCTTTTAAGCACGTTTTTAATCCAATTAAACGCAAGAGATTGTTTTATTTTTTTCTAAGTTTTCTTTGTTTTTTATTTATTTATTTATTTTTTTTATTATAATTATATATATTATTTAAAATTTTTTTTTTAAAACTTGAACACTAAAAAAATGCAAACAATTAATTATTTTAAAGGAAAAAAATATAAAACTTTTTTCTCTTTTTTTTTTTATATTTTTTCTTCCAAAATTTTTATGTTTCGAATTAATCACTAAATTTTTGAACAGGTTGTTTTAAAAAAAAAAAAAAAAATACTTAATTTTTTATTTTACAGCTCAATCGAGTTTGCTTTCAAAAAAAAAAAACCACAAAAACCTTTTATTATTTTATTAGATAGCATTCATTTTTTTTTGTTGTTTTTTTTTGTTTATTTTTGTTAGAGAAGGATATTAAAATGTTTAACGTTTTAGAATTCACACGTTTCATTATTAAATTTGTTTTTTTTTTATTTTTTTTTTTATTCTTTTTCAGTTTCTCTTTCTAAGCTTTTAACAGCGACAGCAAAGAAAAAAAAATAAGCAAAAGTTAATTTATACGTAAGACTGACGCCGTTAGGTATCAATAAATTAACGCCAAAATGACCCGAATGACCGACCAAATGATCCCAACGTTTTCTTATAACCTGCATATATGCTTGTCTGTCCGTTTGTCCATATGTTTAAACGGTAAAACAGCAACCGTATATGTATATAGTAATAGTAATAGCAATAACAATAACAACAATCTAACAAAACGAATCTTAGATTGTTTAACATTATTTTTTGTCTTAGTTTTTTCTTCTTGTTCCTGTTGTTGTTGCTTTGTGTTTTTATATTTTATTACTTTTTTTTTTTTTTTGGTTCTGTTCAACTTAATGTAGTTGTTGTCAGTGTTGTTGTAATGTGTCTTCGTTGTTGACAATTTTAACTTAATTTATGACATTAAT